AATAGAGCTGTGACTCTCTGTCAGCCTGGCTACAGTGCTGAAAAGAAACCTGGGGTTGTTCCTATTTTCCTCTATTAATGACGAGTAGTATGCTGCTCTGGCATTACGGAGGGCCTTCCTATAAGTTTAAAGACTATCTTGCCAAAATAAACGAGAAATTTCCAGTTTGGTAGAACGCCAATTCCTCTCAAGTTTCCACGATATTTGCTTTAATTTGCGAGTTTCAGTGTTATAACATGAAGCTAACAGTCTTTGTTTTAGTATTTTCTTTTTTAGAGGGGCTACAGAGTCGAGTGTCATTTGCAGCGAGCCTGCAGCACTATCAACAAGATGATCGATTTGGGAGGGACTGAAATTAGCATAGGAGTCCTCCGTTACTTTGTGACTAGATAATGAATTTAGAGCTGATGGAATCGCATCCTTAAATTTAGCTACAGCACTATCAGACAGACATCTTGTATAGAAATTTTTGCCCAATGGCGAGTAGTTCAGCAATACAAACTCAAAAGTTGTCAAACAGTGGTCGGATAGAGAGGGATTCTGTGGGAACACTATTAAATGTTCAATTTCAAATACCATACACCAAAACAAGGTCGAGGGTGTGGTTAAAACAGTGAGTCGGTTCATGAACACTCTGAGAGAAGCCAATTAAATCTAACAGAGATAAACGCAGTACTAAAGCTGTCATTCTCAACGTCCACATGAATATTAAAATCCCCTACAATAATAACTTTGTCCGTTTTAAGGACTAAAGTTGACAAAAACTCTACAAATTCAGATAAGAATTCAGAGTACGGGCCAGGTGCTCGGTACACTATAACGAAGAGAATTGGTTGCAGTGATTTCCAACTTGGGTGCGAAAGACTAAGAACAAGGCTTTCAAATGAGTTATAGTTTAGTTTAGGTTTAGAGCTGATTAGTAGGCTAGATTCGAAGATAGCTGCAACTCCACCTCCTCGGCCTGTGCCTCGAGGAATGTGAGTATTAATATGACTGGGAGGGGTGGATTCATTTAGGCTAACATATTCTCCATCACCCAGCCAGGTTTCAGTAAGACAAAATAAATCAAGTTTCATTTACTAGTACACCTTTAGAAGAGAGAGATCTGATGTTTAAGAGTCCACATTTAACTCTCCTATTCGTTTGCACTATTGCTCTTGTGGTTTTAATTTTTATGAGGTTTTTATGCACAGCTCCTCTTCTGTTTACCTTTTTAAATAATTTCGATGGTCGGGGGGCAGACACCGTCACTATAGGATTTTCACTAAGTAACTCCTGAAATGGAGGAGCAGAGAAGTGTGTTAGACTGCGACTCTGCGTAGGGTTTTGGGTGGGTAACTGCTGAAAAAGAAGGGCAGAGAAGTGTGTTAGACTGCGACTCTGCCTCCTGGTCTCAACTCTGGGTTGTCATGGATTTGGTCCACTAATAAACTTGGCCAGATTTCTAGAAATGAGAGCTGCTCCTTCCCAAGTGGGATGGATGCCGTCTGTCTGGATCAGACCAGGTGTTCCCCAGAAAGTCTGCCAATGATCTACAAAGCCCACATCGTTTTTGTTTTTGTAAGACTATTAAAGTTGTGAGATTTATTTATTGTTACATTTTAGTCCAGCAATTTTAAATCCTGTCTAAAATCACATTTTTGTGCAGTTTTTCTTAATGTGCATTTGTCTGAGAGGAAAATGCATATAAAATACACTGTTTTGCAATGACAAATTGTGCGTGGTGCAGTTCATCATATGGTGTGACATTCAGAATTGTGACAATAAAAAGCCTTTTTTGATTATAAAATTATAATCATAAAAGTCAATGGAACTTAATTAAAACAGTATCAGAAAGAGTCACAAGCATTTTGTTAGATTTATAACAAGGTTTGTCAGAATCAATCTAAAATATCTTGAAAGGCTGAAGTCAGGTGTCTTACTTTGCATGATGATTTAATAAAAATAAATAATAGAAAATCTAATGAAAGATTAATTAATAAAAGTTTAAGATAGTAATGATAAAAACCTATGGTTAAGTTAGTTATTTGGGTAAAGTATATCCCATTGTAATTATATAAAATATAACTTTTTACAATTTTAGGCACTGATGCAACAAATTGGTGAATAAATTAAAATTCCACAAAAAAATCTAAAAGACCACATTTATTTTTGGAAATTAAACAGTCAATCCAACACAACTTAATATTTTTCATGCCTAAGATTGAAAACTTTTTCAGGCTTTTATGTCAACCTCCCTTTTATATGCTATACCTTGCACTATATGTCACCAATTTGCCAGTATCTGGCACATCAGTAACAAAAAAACATTGTTCTTTAAGATATTTTACAGTTTGTAATTTTCTGAAAAACAATTTAGGTATAATTTAGGTTTAGTGTATAATGGAAAGCTTTCTCAATTTTTATGATGCCACTTGTAGCATAGTGTTTCTGGGGGCCGACCGTGCCCCACTGGTTACTGTACAAAAACACAACTTTTCTTTGTCAAGAAGAAGCTCTTCAATGATTTTGGTGAAATTGGATCATATTTGAATGAGAATGTATTTTCTAGTTTTCTCTCTGATGTCCCCCTGCTGCTCTGCCTCAACTCTGTGATCTGAGTTTCCTGATGGACAGATAACTTTACTTGTGGCTGAAGTAATCGCTAACTGCAGCAATAGCTGCCATTTTCTAATTAGCCTAGTTAGCCGAGGAAGTAGTTATAAAATTAGCTTACTCTGCCCGTACTGGGAGCTCAGACCACCAGGGGAATGTTAGCGTTTACCATGACTCTATAAAGGTGTTTAAACCTTCTCGAGCACTGGAGGTTTTCAGGGCAGGGAGCTGCGAGATTCAAATAAATGGTATCATTGTTGAAAGAAATGACAAATGTACCTTTTGACAAATGTGCTAGGGCTTTCTGGTCTGTGGTTCAAAGCCTATTATGGTCTTTCTGTGTGGAGTTCAGTAAGTTCTTCCCATTTCTGAATCTTTTTCATCTGAGTGCTCCGAGAGTGTAAACACATGCAGGTAAGGTTAAGTCCTATACCTAACCAGTCATCCCTGTGAGATACACTAGTGATGTGTCCAGGGAATACCTTACCTCCAGCCTCATTACTGATGGAATGGACCTTTCAAACACTGCTTGTATAAACATTGACAAAAGGACCAATTTCATGTGAGGACACTGCAGCTGTGAAACAGATGTCCAGGTAATCACATCGAGTGGAGAACTGACTCTTCACAAATAGTCCAATGTCTGTAAACTAGGTGAAACTAAAAGATTTAGCCTACTAAAACTCTAGTTAGTAAAGGCATTCCTTTAGTGTGCAACAATTATCAAAGCAGACTGATCCAGACAGCCATTTATCCTCCTTACGCAGTTTTAATGCAGTTTCACTGTTGGTGTGACAACTATATTGCACATGCCTTTGGAAAAATGTAATTCTGATAGACATATCTGAAGCACAGCCTCTGCTCTCTGCAGTCAGAAGTTGGATGAAGGACAAAATGCAGAGCACATTCTCATTTCAAAATATTAGAGTGACTATTGATCAGCAAAGAAAGATTACATCTTCGGTCTCACTCTGATGTCCTTCAACGACACTTTAAGCATTTAATGAAAGTCTGAACAGACACACACAGAGCAGATGTTTGTGTTATCGCACTGCTTGACACTGGATGTTTGACGATTCACAGTGAACACTACATTGGCCTTTGACTGAGATTCCGTCTGCAGGCAACATATACACTCTGCAGGCTTTTGGATGTAACTGAAAGTTTTCATACAGAGTCAAGGTCAGAGGACGATATTTTTAAGGATGTCATTTGGTTTTCAGGGTGTCCTTCAGTAAGTGTGCAAGACATTTATCTTATTATTTTCACTCCACAACTGGGAGAGTATTTACATTTAACAACTTTCTCACAAAAACATTCGCTATTTACCTGGTCTATGTGAAAATTAAAGGCTACTGCTTACAGTGTATATCAAGTACACGAAAGCCATGTCATTAAAGTTTCCACCAACACACTTATGAAATCATGATTCTACAACCAATCAGCCACAGGTCTATGTATAATTTGTGCTGTCTCTGGGTCCCCTGTAAGTCAGCTGAAGGTACAGAGAGGATTGGTGAGGATGAATGGAACAGAGGGTTTCAGTAACATAATGAGGAGAGAGACGTTTTCATAGTCTCATGATTTGGGCTATGGCTGTGTCAACCGTCTAACCAGTGTGTCCTAAATTGTCAGTTTCCAACCCTGAATAAACTATCAGGCTGCATAAGCACAACCAGCCACTTACTGTTGTATACAACAGTATAAAAATTTTGAGTGATTATTTTGCAGTCTGGTGCTGTTAAACAAGATGTTATCAAAAACCATCTGATTGCTTCAGTGTGAGACATCCTCCAGTTAAAGGTAGAACACATAACTGCAGCATTTGGATGGCTGTAAATGGAAAGAATGTGTCCGTTTCTGTTGGTTTGCACCGTATGTTCAGTGTGCACGAGCATGAACACACATGTTGCAGACAAAGACAGCACAATGAAGCAATGAATGATGCAGCCCTGTATTCCCCACCTTTAATCCTCTGGACACCTTGAACATCTGTACAAAATGAAATGGCAATCCACCCAATAGTTGTTTAGATATTTCAGTCTGGACCAGAGTAGTGCACAGACCCACTGACCTCAGTCGGCTGATCATGTGATGAGCAGAGGGTGAGCAGTTAAAGCTCAGTTTTGGAGCAGAACAGACTAATTTTCCCTTAAGCGGATTATAAACAAAGGAAAAAAACAAAATCAGTGTGGTTTGTGTCTCATTAAGGCATTCACTGAGCACTGTCAACGCTTTTGTTGACATTTCCCAAAACAGAAGAATACACTGTTCCCCTATTTGTTTTATCTGCATGCCCGCTGGAAATCTTTGAACAAAAGCACACCAAAAGTTTTCATTTAAGTGTAAATGGAAAGACATGAACTGAAGACACGCAAAATACATTAACTCAGACAAATCCAGTCTTCAAGGCATTCTAAAACATCACCATAATTTATTTACAATATATTAAGCCGCAATGCAAAATTTATAACAAGTGGTCAATTTGTTCAATAACGACAATAAACATGAACTATTTTCAAAGCTAGCATGAATCATACACATACTTATATAAATACTGTGTGAAGTCAGCAATATAATATCTGCTGTTGTTTTTCCTGTTGAACACTTTGATCAGGATCAGTAAGGTCAAAAAACATATTTCCACACTTGTGTTGACTGCATAGAGAATAAAAATGAAGACGAGTCTACAAAAAGCATGTATAGTAGAATCACACAATGTTTCTGGCAATGAAGAACATCCTCTAATTTTATTCAGCCCCAAATGCCATGTCAAGCTCTTCTGGATTTTAAATGAGTTTCAAAAATATCTTAAAATACGCCGTAAATACCAGACAGATGATCAAAAGGGTGTCATGTAACACTTTAGCAACTATGAAAAAGCAGGATCCTATTTTCTTGCTGTTTAGAGACATTGCTGGGTTACAAAAAAGACCTGACAAAGAAACAGGCTTCAAAGACACTGAACATGACTTCACAGTATTGGTTATACAGACTGTAGTGTGTCCAGTTAATGAAGTTCCAGTTAAAGTACCCAATGAGGCTTTAAAGGAGAAGGCCGGTGATATTCTAGATTTTCATCAAAACCTATAAAAAGACATAAATCCATGGAAAGATCTGTTCATTTTAAAGGAATCACTGCGATCAGCAGATCTGCTTGCCTGATTCGCAGTTAAACTCTGACACTTACATTTGCGCCACTGACTATTGGAAGGCATTCTGCCAGTGCTGACAACTGAGGTGAGAGAGCCAGAGAATCCAAACTATAGAATCCACTATAATTACCTACTGGTAGATAGGCCTGTCATTTTTCTTTTCATCATTTGTGGGACATTGGGAAAATGTTTTATATCCTTGCCCTATCTGTAAACTAGGCTAACATTCTTTTTGCTAGTGCAAAAAAGAAAAAGCTAGCTAGCTATGTTGAACAAAGTGAATGAACAGAAAAATGTGAATTCCACAACATATTTTAGGACATTGAATTCTGTGTGTGCTGTGTTCAGATTAATGCCCTGATGTTTTTGAAAAAGTGTCAATCCTGTAAGCTGCGTTGCATCATCCACTTTTATAAAACCCTTATCCACTGGAGTGGAGTGGTTTTCAGGCTGTTATGAAACAAGAATTGTTGATTTCATGTATGCATAACCTGAATCATCTTATTGTGGTGTTACTAAGGTAGAGGATTAAGGCCACATGTAAAAAATGTATTTGAGTTCTGAGTTTAAAGACAGAATTCTGAGAATAAAGTCAGACTAAACTCATTGACATTTTTCACATGTGGCCCTGATCCTCTTCTCTAGTTTAGTGACCAAGGTAGTTGAGCTAGCACTAGCATATTCACAGTTTGTAAAAAACTATAGTGGCTAGCAACAAAAAAACTACATTAGCGAGCCTTTTTTTAAGATGTCTATCTTAAAAAATAGGAACCAATTGGTTTAGGACAATTGTGATGACAGCTTAGCTAGCTTCATTCCCCGAAGAAGACTAAGAGATGTGGTTGAAGGGGACCTCTGAGCTGAAAATATTTTGTTACACATACTTATCCCAAAGGTCAACCAAACACATAGCTGGTCTTGGTCTTTCCGTGTGATTTGGAGAAAAATATGGAATAACACCAGCTTTTACCTTTGAGGATACCAAATGCTTTTTGTTTTTTTTTGTTTTTTTTGGAGAAACAAACAGATGACTGGTGCCTAAAGTCAAGGGCATTCCCTTAGAAAAAAAAGCACATCAAACTTAAAGCAAAACATGGACAGCATGTGAACAACAAGCACAAGGACAAAGCCGAAGTCTCTTCATCACTAAAGAATTCTGTCAAGTCCTCAAATCAATTTGAAATGAAAATAAGACAAGGCATTTCACATATGTAAGCTCAAAGGTCATGGAAATTTATTTGCTGGCTGATGGCTGTCCTCTGCAAATTAAATCTGTCAAACATCAAAAACTAAAGATTCAAATGGAGAAAAATCCTTTGATTCCTCGGCACAGCGGTTAGTGATGGATTCCTCCTCCTCTGTAAGGAAGAGATCATTTGCCAGCAAAAGGCACAAAACTTTTCAGGCAAACAAAAGCGAGCAGATGTTAATGAGAGAGTCTTCAGTATATGACGCAGCAGTCCATGAAATGCCACAGCTGCAGAGAAGCCAGCTGTAGAGGAGCCCACTTAAATCAAATGGCACTTGTCCCGAAAAGGAAAGGAGGAGGAGGAGGATAAAAGGTGGGGACTCTTCCCAGGACTCGGCATCAATTGGCAATAAGTAAAAGAGAGTGCACACATACTTGAACAAAGGCTTTTTGGTAATACATTGTGTACTATGTACATGTATGTAAAGAAGAGAGAAAGAAACAGACAAAGAGAGAGTTTGAAAGAATCTATTATCATTGCAACCTCAAGTTCTTTGGCTCAGTTACAACCATGGTGGGAGTTAAACAGAACGGCTGCTCAAGCCAAGCAACTGCTGCTTGCATGCAACCAGCAGAGTCAAGTCGTTAATAATGCAGCTGCTTTGTGTGCAGTGAGGTTAGACTGATGAGTGACGAGTCTAAAAGCCCATGTTGTTTGTTAAACTAGGACCAAATCCTGTGAATGTTAGGAACATCTCCAGTATTTGAATGTCTGTTTTCCGGCAGGGTTGTAAGTGTGTGATTGTGTTGGACTGACCACATTCTTTGGTCAGCTTTGCATGCAAGACCAACTATCACAACTGAATGAGGGGATGGAGGATGGATGTTGACAGCGAGCAATACGATGTGGTCTCATCAGGCCTGTCCTCGCCGCCGTCATCTTTCATAAGGCTGCCACATCTGTATCGAGAGTAGTACGCGCCCTTTGTTGACCTGTCTTCTTATTGTTCTTCATCCTCCTCCTCTTCATCAGATCTATCAAAGCAGTAGCGTCTTCGGCCAGGGGGGCTGGAACAGGAAACAACAGACAACTGATGTTAGAATCAAAAAAGAAAGCAGAGTATTGTTTCTGAGCTCAATGCATTACAATGTAAAAAAAACACAAACAAATGTAGAAATCATCATAACTGTGAAAACACACGTTTAGAAACCAAAGTGGCAAAGTACATGTTATGATATATAAAAATACATGATGACACAACTGATGAAGCTATACTATAGTTACTATTTGCTGGATCTTTTCTAAATTTGACATATGTGTTGCCAAAGTGATGATGTGGTTTTCTTCATTTGCTTGTGTTCTTATGTTCCAGTATGCTGAGCTCTCTTAACCACCACGGAGAAGCTGTACATTCAGACATGTTGTGAGGTTAGTCTTTCTTCTGGCATCTAGTGACCAATAAATCGCATGCAATGTTGTGCTCCACTAGGCATGCATAACTATTTTGTGTTATTATAGTCACTATGGGATTATATCTACACTATTCAAATAACAAATACAAAGCATTGTGCAGATGTGATTCCATCCTCTCAAAATGTTAGTTGTCAAGTGAATTAGCCCAAAGAAAAAAACATGAAACGTACTGAAAATAAAAGAAATTTGACCAAATCTAAACATGATTCAAGTCATTTTTTAAACATAATCCCAAATATTCCTAAAGAACTAAAATCCCATCACCAGTCACACAAGAGACTAGCCCAGCCTTTTCACATTATTTAACATTCAAAATGCTTAAATATTGCTAACGCAGGGTTAATTAGTCAACTGTGCATCTAAATTAATTTGGTAGTTGGTGTAAATCAATGCTCAGGGTCTAATTATGCCTGCAGTTATGGTCCGGAAGAAAAAATGTATTATGGCTTCTCTTAACTGACTCCTGTTATTTTTACCTTTCTGGGGCTACAAACCAATCTGATGTCTCAAGAGTAATTAAAGGCTGACTTTACATCCATGTCTTCACAACAGACCCAGTCTCTTCTGCTCCCAAAGAGTCCTCAATGAAAGCCTAGCAGTATTAAACTAGTGAAAAGACCATAGAGGTTGTGATCACTACTCTTCGGCTTGAAACTGAGAATGTGTAGTAGCAAACATCAAAAATTGTTAGCATGCCTAAGATGACACATCATCAGAAACACGACCCACAAATTATAATTCTAAACTGTTGAAGTCTAATATCAGTCAGACTGAATGGACAACATTTAATGTGCTGAGGGACAACAGTGAAAGGTACTGATTGGTTAGGTCACATCATGCTTCAAAAACACTCTTCAAGGCAAGTCCGCATCAGGCAACCACCTACTGCCTGCCTCAGTCACTGTCCGGCCGGTATAGGTATTTCATCATCAGACTGTCCACCTTCTTCTTTCTCTTTTTATCATCCTTTTTGTTATGTGGTTGGCTCACACTCTGTGGCCTAGCTTCTCCTTCCCCTTCTGGGCTGGACACCTTTCGAACCGGGGCCCTTTTCACACTGCTGGAGCTTCGGTAGGAAATAGTGGAGGCCCCGGAGCTCGAGTCTGACCCAGAGTCCAACTCGGAATCTGAAGACGAAGAAGAGGAGGAAGAAGATGGAGATTCATCCCTCTTCTTGGACTTTTTCTTGGACTTCCTCTTGGAGCTGCTCTTGTGACGATGGTCATCTCCTGAGCTTTCAGATTCGGAGCTGTGGCTTCTCTTCTTCTTCTTCTTGCCTTTGCTCTTACTGCGATGGCGACTGCTGCAGCTGTTGGTGCTGTGGGACGATCTCATGCAGTCCATAGCGGATGCAGAGCGTCTGAGACTGCTGGCAGGGCGAGCACTGTCTCGATTATGGATAGCTTTGCCGGTGTCTTCATCATTCTTGGACTTTGCTTCCTCACCCTCAGAGTCTTCCAAGCTCCTGCGTTTGAATTTGATAGGCTTGAAACTCAGCACCTCATTGATGGCTTTCTCTAGGTCAGGGTCAAGGTAGTTGCGATGACTGACTGGTTTAATATCCAAGTTATCAATTGGGTCAGTAGTTGATGACCTGGCTTGTGGTGGTGGCATGGAGAGACTGCGGCCGGTGGACGAGTGAGGACTGTAGGCCGACCTCTCGGTGAAGGCCACACTTCGACTATCATCAATGTCAAACTCGCTCAGACGGCAGCTGCGTGCCAGCGACATATGGGAATCAGCTCGGCTAACACTTCCAGGACTGCGACCCCCAGACCTTCTGCTAAAGCAAGGGCTACTAGGACTGCTGCCATACATTGGCCGTCCGCCTCTGCCCTCATCTAAGCGTGAGGTGCTTTGGCGGCGTCCAAGTGGGCTTGACAGACCTAAGCTGATGGTAGACTTGGCATCATTCTCTGGGCTTAACCCAAGACGTGTGGAGGCCCGACTTTGTGCAGTGTATGAAACGGTTGATTCTTTGTCAAAGTCACCCCAGCGGCTGTCCATGCCTTTCCTGGCTCGGCTGTTGGCCTCTGAATAGGCTTGAGAGATGACTGATTCTCTGTCATTCATGTCATCCCCTGCCTGAGACTTCCTCCTGGAGAGGGTATCATCCTGAAAATCCGAGGTTCTGGGTTTAGCTTTATGGAAGGATAGTGTGTCTTCTGACTCTGCATTCTCCTTGAGGGCACTGAAGAGGGCATCCCCTTTGCCACCGATGGAATCAAGGTTGGATCGTTTTCTGTAGCTGAGGGAGCTCATCACTGACATTGACCTGCTGGGCTCCACCTCTTTGCCCTCTTTATTTACCTCTTTCCATTCCTTACCCTCTTTCCATTCTCTCCCTTCCTTTGCGTCTACATTTACAGCAAATCTAAGAAAGAAACAACAGCGGAAAGAACAAAGGAATGAAGACAGTGGCAGAGAAAATGACAAAGATGAAATATTGGGTCAAGTGGAGGCGAATGGAAGAAGAGCATAAGAAACGAATGAAACTTTATGAAAACAGAAATATGATGAGAAATGTAAGAGCTGCAAAATGAAGAAGATCAATGAACAAAGGCAGATTAAGGAGAGTGTAACTGGGGACAACTGACAAGCTACTAACATGGGCTTTCCTAGCATTGAAATGTTAAGACATGGACCAAAATGTTTTTATTGCCAACAAAGAACAACTGGAGGCCACAGTAATGATAAGAATAAGAAAAATCACACCTTCAAACCTCTACAAACCCACTTTAAAGCAAATGAAATGTTTTTGGCCAATGTGGTATTATGGCCAGAGATTGTTGCAACAAAACACTGACCCAGCCATTTAGCTAAAAAGCAGGTACATACGCAATACATCTGGAAAAACCAAGTAACAAAATGAATTGAAAATTGAATGGCAATGTTTGAGTTTTATCACTTATATTAAGTTACTTTTAGCTGTCTTGCTTAAAGTTGTAAAAACCTAGATAGATTTGATAAAGCATTCAAATTTGGTATGCACATTTGCTACTAGATTCAGATCCAATATAATGTTATTGAGCCCAAGTCACAGCAGCTGACAAAACAGACGAGAAAGCATTCTACTGCTACAGCGACTAAAAAAAAAACCCTGACAGGATCTGCTTGGGAAAAAGGATTCAAAACATTTGGAAAGAAGAAAGAGTATGTTCCACTCGTTTCATTTGTAAAGTAATGTATCTATTGCGTATGCCTGACTATATGTACTTTCATAGAAACGCAGTTTGTGCTAGCAAAAACTTTCTATTCTGATGGGAAATGACCTATGACTATGTCATTTTTATAGTACTATGTGACTTTATTTATTCAAAATCCATATTTTTTTCAGAATCAGAAAGCTTTATTAAGTGCTCCACTCAACGTACATTTTTTTGTAATGAGCATCATGTTGCACTACTGTATGTTGAACACTGATCCGAAACAATGCATGCCTGTGAGCATTACAGCAGATTTAAGAAACAACATTTGGCTAAACTCTGACTGAAAATGTTTTTTAATTATAAGTAATCATGTAGACATGATAAACCTTTTAAATAATAATCCTTTTCACAACCTTTTGCTGGTCATTTCTTTGTTGACAGAACTAGGCAAGAATTCCTATGTGTTGTAATGTGTACAGTACCGGTGCCAATGGCACTTAAGGTAACTTGAAAGCTACTACTGCTGGCTCACTCGATTAATCAGTCAGTGTATGTCTATGGGGACTTGCTGGTAAAAGAGATTTAAAAACTCCAGAAGTTTTTAAAGTCGGGAGTGGCCCGGCTGAGGGAGGGAAGTTAAATCTTCTGGTAAGGAGACAAATCTGGGGCAATCGAAGCTGGCAGCTGGCAGACACATTCATTAATCTCAGTGAGTGGCTCAGGTAGACTGTGCCAGCTGGCCATTGGGCATGTCGATAAATCTACCAAGGTGGTGTTTTGTTTTAAGGAATAAAAAGTCCCCTCTTCACAGAGTGGGTGACAATAAACACAAAGCAGCTTGAAAATACATTTCAGCCAAATATCCTGCTCCGGTTTATTTCCTCTGGGTCAGATCACTTAAACAATTTCATCCAGACAGTCCAAAAGCAGTCAAATGTCTAGCAAGACTGTTTACTAACTGCTGCTGAAGTAATAGTAATAGAAGCAGCCTTTGTACTGACCTGGAGCTCTTGAGGCTGCCGTCATCTGATAAGTTCTTGGTGGAACCTTTGCTTTTGGACAACCAGGACTTCACCCCGTCCACACGATCCTCCACCTCAGAGTCGGTGTCTGAATCCCCCTGACTGGTGAGGAGTCATAAATAGGAAAACATGTTAGGGGGTGTAGAGGAGAGATGAGGTGGCAAAGGAGGTTATGAATAGAGAAAATAGAAGTCAGATATGCCCATTCAGAGAGGAGGGAATAAGGAAAAAGAAATGTTAGTGTGAAAGGAGAGTCAGCACTGGTAGAAACATTCCTGTAATTCTCTGTCGCTGTGGAAGCAGAGAATGAAGACCAGGCTTTAGTATTAGTGTGGAGGCAAGGAGGGGTTGCGCTTAGGGTGACGAAGGCAACGGATGCCTGCAGCTGCGCCTGCTGATTGTGTATCTGGTGATTTTTCCTATTCCTCCTCCTTCATAGGTTTGGCTGCAACATAATTTTCTGCCACCACCTCTTTGCTTACAAATGAATGAAAGACAGCATATGCAGTCAGCCCCGTAAACACACAAACATGCCCAATAGAGGTTGAGTAGATGTAAATACTGTTGTCCCTGTTAGATGAGTGCTTTCATGGTCCAGAAGTTAGCTGGCACAGAGGCTTCCAGCAATCATTCTACCTTTAGTCTTCCAAAGCTACTTTAGGGCTCAACAAGCACACAGGAACAAACCCCAATGATAGCACTTGAACTATAGGAACTTTCGGTTTTTACAAGGTGTTTTTTTTGGCCATCACTCCTGTTAGGTACTAAGAAAATACCCACTAAATGTATTGTGTACTCTGCTAGACACACACCCTACCACCCAAGCTGAATGGTTTTAAAGTCCATAGTTCTTTTCTTTTTTTTTTTTAAAACCACTTCACTGAAAGTGAGGAGGAAAGTTGAATATGAATTGTGGTTTAGGTAAATCAAAGCTCTTATTTGAAATAAGAGCTTTGATGATTTGGTTAAAGGGGTAATATGTCGTTTTCAGCGGCTAATAGCGGTGTGGTATTAAGCAACCAGGTGTTTGAGCCACACATCGGCATAATACTCCTGGGGAAAAAAGACAGTGTGACAGGGGCCACAAACTTCACACAACATGCTGGAAAACTCAGGTAAACTTCCACTGCAACGTTACAGCAACATTTTTATCAGCTTGAGGTTGAACTAATCCATGCTCGTTACATGATAACGTTACACTGACTGCATTTAGCCGGCGTTTTATGGTGTTAGTGGATTGCATGTTGTCACTGTAGTCGGGAGAGGCTCAGGAGTGCCCATGCAGCTAAATCCCGACCCGATACCTTCACATGGGAAGCAGAATAGTGGCTGTTCCAAGCAACAGAGAAAACAGGCATGCTGCTCAGTTCTAAGTGAGGCTACAGCCTGTTGACAAAAAGGCCCTAAAAAAAGTGATTTTCTGATAAGGGATTTCATTGAAAAGCTACATATAGCCCCTTTAAACTGATGATGTGTTCAACACCTGCCAGGTGCTTCAACAATTCATTATTTCAGTTCCATAATTTGGGGAACTTGTGAGACACAAATTTAGAAAATATTCAAAATCAAAGAAGTAGTATAACACATCTGTATCTCTTTTTGGCAATCGAGTTACATTGTGGGTAAAGTTTTGACAAGAAAGGAGAATGAATGGAAAAACTGGTTCTCCTGCTCCAATTTGGATCCTTTTTTAAACTTTCCAGCTTTTTCAGAGCTAAAGAAGACATTGTGCATCTTATGAACTGGGATAGTGGCATTCCAAAAACACACAAAAATCATTTCCTTTTGCTTGTGTGTTTAGGCAGCAACGCTTTTACTATATTAGAGCACCAGAAGAGCAGTAGTCTCATCCTTTTATAAAAGATAAACAATCAGCCCCTGCTGGTGTGTAGTGAAGGTACAACAATGAGTAAAAATATACAATGGACACTTTTCATCAAATCAGTACATTGTACCTAGACATCAAATCCTTTTTATAGTTATTAAGGCTTTCCTTCTAACGTGTTTGAGAAACATATTAAGGCATTCTCCCCTGTGTTGGTGTTGTTTTGTTATGGGTTCCCTCCTGCTTACCTTGTACTTCAAGTATGGTTTGATTCACCATTCATCATTAATTAGGGCCTTAAGCTGTGTGCCTACATTTCAACACTGCATTCAGAAAGTTATACAAAACGTGGTTTTAGAATGGGATTTTATGTACTGCAGACCCTGGTGCCAACCCTACTGAAGTCACTGAGGGTTTGTGTTTTGTTTATTTTTCGTTAAATGTCACAATGCAGAGGTGGTATGACTGCTGCACACACCTCAGATACATAAAATAAACACATAAACCAACAGGTGGCCCAGTAACTCCCTCATAGTATGCTGCATATTCAAAACCTTACATGCTTGCGTTCCCTAAATTGAGCTGCATCTTGTGATACAGGCCACGCCCATTTCCTATCATTTTTTTTGCACAAAAATACATGTGTGAAACCTACTTTTTCGAAGGTGAGTCCGATCTGCACGACACTTTGTATGTACAGTACAATCTATGATCAAAATTTTTAAAATAATTTTCATAATCAAAAAAGTAAGACTTCAACTTCCTGTAGGTTGCATCAAAAAAATGGGGGTGATGTCATATCTCTACATGGGTCTGTTTCAAAAAAGAAGTAATCTGATCCTGTAGTAATAGGTTTTAAACATTTCTATGGATCTTGGCTCAACAACATTCATTGGCTTTATTTCAGCTACTTCAGCAAATGTAGTAAATTTAAGTCAGTGAAATGCTGTTAAAACATATTCCGACTATCTGCAGCTACACTATGATCCTGCTCACTCAGAAATAATAACATATGATCTCCAATATTTTAAGAACTATGTTCCATTAGTGTGACCAATCATAAGTGATAGAGATAATTATTCATTGATCCTACATGTCTTAAAGGTTCAGTGTGTTATATTTAGGAGGATCTATTGACAGAAATGCAATATAACATACATAACTATGTTTTCAGTGGTGTATAAAGACCTTACATAATGAACCGTTATGTTTTTATTACCTTAGAATGAGACATTTCTATCTACATACACCGAGGGTCCTCTTACATGGACGTTGCCGTGTTGCACTGCCATGTTTCTACAGTAGCCCAAACAGCTCTACCGAGCGAGTTTCATCACTATACACAATAAGTTGGAAAAAAAAAGGAGAAGCAGCAGCAGTAGTCGTCATCTGGTTTATTAGAAGTAAAAAAAGAAGTCAAATTTGGGCAAATGGAGGCCCACACGTATTACTTAGCACAAAAGCTGACAGAGCGTGTCGGCCATCATAGCTTCTCCTGAGTGCATGGAAAGGGAGGGATGAGCAGTGACTGATGGTGCATTCATGTGGTGTCGGAATGATCAGTTTTCTTTTTTCCTTCCTTAAATCGTTATTGCAAAAAGTGGAATAAAGTGTACATGGGACATAAAGAAGTATACAGATCAGTCTATATTATATAAAGATATTAAAAGAGGGCCATATGTTGACAGTTTTCACAGCCTTTTTGTGGTTGGATTTAGAAATTAAATTGATACAATGGAGAAAAAGTACAACATTAGGTTTTTTTTACAGCTAAATTTACAATTCCCATTAGAATTAATACATTTATTATAAAGTACTTATTTTGGTTGAGGAGCAAGTGAATGCAGTGAGCCATTTGTTGCAGTTCACAACCCTCACCACTAGACAGAGATGGGGACTCGAGTGAGAGACTCGGACTCGAGTGCGACTTAAGTCGCACACACAGTGACTTCAGACTCGACTTGAGACTCGAGGCGCGGGACTCGTGAACAATGTTTATTTTTTAGGACACGTCTGATGAGCTTGCCGTTATTCCCTCCCTCCGTTACCTGCCAACGTAACATGTAGGCCTAACATCTGCTACGCGCAACCGCACATGAGAGAGGACATCAAACACCGGCAGCTGCGTTTAACGTAATCATTACGTCCCGCTGGCAGCCATCACGTTAATTATTGCCGTTGGCTGGAAAGACGTTACAGGTTATTGTTGATCATGTAGCCTAACATTACAGTTTTATTTAGTTATAACCTAACATTACACTGGTTTGAGAGTCTGCAGGGTGTGTTGACTTACAGTAGTTTAAGCTGTCAGTGATTGCATTGCACATTATGGTTGTGCTCTGTAAGTTAAAAACAGCTTACTGTTTATTGTTTTGAGAGTCTGGGGGATGTGTTGACTTACAGTGGTTTATAAGCTGTCATTAACTGCATTGCACATTACATGGTTGTGCTCTGTAAATTAAAAACAGACAGATTTATTGTTGATTATGCAACGTCACAGTTTTATTGACTTATAGTATTTAATAAGCTGTCATTAATTGCATTGCACATTACATGGTTGTGCTCTGTAAATGAAAAACAGGTTACGGTTACAGAATTCCTTATAGCTATGCAGTTTTATTAGCAACCTGGATTGAACGCAGCAGCTGATACAACATTCGTAATAACCACGAGAGACTTGAGACTTGACTTGGACTCTAGCATCTCTGCCACTAAAACTTACACACTGAACCTTTAAGCGTTCTGACTGGTACTAATTCAACTGAAATTACAGATTATGCGCAATAAACATTTAAATGGACCTACAGACTATACAGACTGAATCAATGAGGAAATGCGTGTCTGGCTCGACATGTGAAGACTGTGTCCCTTTAAAGGTGTGTGTGTAAGACTTACGGGGATATTGGCAGAAATGGAATATAATATTCACGGGAATGTTTTCATTAGTGTATAACCACTTGAAAATAAGAATCTTCCACAGAGTCCGCCATTTATTACCACCTTTACTTTCTAAAGTAGCCTGACACAAACAAACCAAACACTGGCTCCAGAGAGGGCCTTTTGTGTTTTATTGCTGGTTTAACGTCCTCCGTAAGTCCTCCCACACACTTCTGAACGTTGAGGTGAGACAAAGGGTTGCAATCAGCAAGATTAGATGCCACTAAAGCTAACACACTGCTCCTTTAACTGTGTACATCTCTGTGTGAGGGCAGCGGGACTTCAATAAAAATAAAATCTGTTACACTCCCTCTCACTTATTGCTGCTAATTTTTTTATC